GTATTAATCATCAAGTGCCAAAAAGTAATCGATTAATGTTTTTCTGATATTTAATTGCAGACGATACGATTATGCCCAACCCTAGAACAAAGGCAGATAATAGGGTTAGGCATAATCGTATCGTGTGCAATTAAACATCAGAAAAACATTAATCGATTACTTTTTGGCACTTGATGATTAATACAATTAATGCCACCAGGCTCCTCTCCGCTTCAAATATGACGAACGTTAAAAAAAAGTTCTGTAATTTACTTATCAACACAATTTAAAAATTGAAGTCTGTAATTTTGACACAATTTGGAACAGATCTTTATGAAGAACAAATCTTTCCCACTAAATTGGTCCTGTCTAGGACATAAAGGTGTCCAGGGACTCCAGGGGATTAATCGTCAAATTAACCGTTATCAGCTAAACACCACAATTAATCGTGATTCATTTTTTTGCCATTATTGCCCAACCCTAGCAGATAAAATAGTGTTCTTCACGTCAGCTTTACGTAGATAAACTCAGATGATTGAATTTCAGCCTACTTTCAATTAAGTGGCTCTTCATAACACATTGACAAATGAAAAACTGAGTCTGCATCTAACTACCTGATGGCAGCATGGTTTATTGAAAATCATAGAAATAAAACAGGAGCAAACATTCAGAGCAGCGTTGCACAACCAGGCGACAGCAGGTTAGGAAGAAAAGAGCAGCAGCTGCTGACAATATGTCAACATCCYTACTCAATACCTGCCACACCGACTGAGTTAGAGCCATTATTGTGTTGACATATCTGTGGTGGCCATTTGTGAAGTTGTGCTTTTCAGGAATCAGTTTCTTGACAGGAAGGTTAAGAAATCAAATATATTTCACAAAAATAACATTTTATTATAAGGCTGATATTTCTAAAAACAAAACAGCAGTGAAACTGTTTACATCTGATTATCTCACCTGGAGACTGACATTTCCACAGAACACTTGAAACTTTCCTGTTCCCAGTTGACTCAATCCTGAAAGAATGAGACATGATCTACCTATTCAGGTGACAAAACTGAACCATGCACACCTGCCAGCATTCGTGTTGTTCACAGCTGAGTCATCGCAGCACATACCTGACTGACGTGTTCCTCATGTCAACAAAACATCCTGTAATGCTACTTGTGCTGGTTTGTGGGTATATTTTCAGAGTTAAGAGACTAGTTTTACAGTAATGGTCATTGTAGGGCTGCAACTAACGATAATTTTAATAATAGATTAATCTGTTGATTATTTTTTCAATTAATCGACCAAACCATTAAAATGCTTAATTACATGAATA